ATTCCGGGTGGGTCGTTGGGAGGAGGACGAGGTGGAACTTAGGTGCTTCCTTTAAATCTTGAGTGGAACTTCGTACTATACTCGGCCACGGTGAACTCCGGAAACTGATGGTTGTTACTTAGACTGCTCATATCTATCATGGTTTCCTTCGCTCTCTCTCTCTCTCTTACAAGCGTCCCTGTTACTTCGTCCTTCTCTCTTTCTCTATGTGTCTCTCCCTTCTCTTCATCTCTCTCGCCGCGCCCGTTCGCGGTTTTAGCACCCTCCGCGAAAGCTCCTGGAAACTCTGTCAGTAACGTTAGGTCAGGTTATACCGTGCCCGCGCCGGTGAGGAGGAGAACTCGGCTTGAACTCCGACGGAACTCTGGACGGAAACTCGGCGTGTCGTCGCCAACTAAGTTGGGGAGCGCCACCCACTAACCTCGGTAAGGATTCCTCGCTCGTCTAGGAGGCACCGGTGGCAGCCAGAAAGTCTCGACCACCTTACACGCCTCCGGTACCTTCGGCCTCGATCCTCCGCCTACTGCTATGAACGCACGGGTCAGGGCATTCAGCCAGGCCGCAACCATAAGTTACTAGTACTAATGTTGTTCTCGTGTTCCGCGACCGAATTCATCGGCACGAGAACGACTGTCCAATCTTATAAAATTCTCGCGGGATCTCTCCCAATTAAACCCTTCGAGTCTTACAGACATAAATCGTAAGATAATTTTCATGTAAATTTCATTATTTTCTGTTGGCTATTTTAGAACTTTAAATTCCGATGTCATACTTGATGAGCAACGATTTTCGAAAAATTTTAAAAACCTCTTAGACTTGGTATAAATTTTAATGCAACGACGCTGGAATAGCGGGCAAACATATCCTCTTGCAAAGTACTTCGTTCTTGAGCTTTTACTTATTTTCTTCTCCTACTTCGAAGGAAGCAGCGTAGCTTCGTCTCGCAACCAAACTTCGACGTTCCACCACCTCGAATGAGTCTGTCGCGAAAGTTTAATTAGATCCACCTTGAGGCAATTCCAAGCCCTTCTGCCATCGGTCGCCGCGGTAGCAAGTTAATGAGTCGGTAGCAAATTTCATTCAGTTACGAAGATAGTGCTTTTAATGAGTCTGAGGAAATACTCAAACTATCGCTTCGTTCGATTACTACAAAATTTGATCAATTTTGTTACGTAAATAATTAAAAATCAAATGTTTCGTTATACATTTTTTCTAGAGAGATATACATATATTTCTTTTAGTAATATACGGCTATAAACTTTGCGCCAACAAAATGAAACATACCTATTATTGCATTTTCATTTTATATCCAACCATTACCGAAGCGGCAAAGATTCTAAAAGATAATTTCACCAAACAGAATATTTTTTTAAAAGACTTAAGGGGATGACGATGAACGATCTCATTTTCTATCGTATATCCCATGGCGAATTCGTTCGTCTATATAAGTAAATTACCAGTGTCATAGGGTAGATACTGTCGGCTTCCTAGCTAACCCACGTGACGACAAGCGGGAACGGATGTCAGGGAGGTGGGTAGCTTTGTGGATTTACACGATACCGAAAATACAAGCGGCGAACCGACCTCGACCGGGGAACTTTATTGCATTACGCCATGCGGCGTTTTTCCTGTCGTCGTGCGGTCTCGTTGCACTGCGGGCTCTAACCTCATCGAATTGACCCTCTACTTTGGCTTAGTCCCGGGGACAGAAATAACGTACTTCGTCCTGCGGCATCCGGCCCGCGTCGGAGAATCAACGAATTCCCCGGATGGCTCTGAAGAGCCGCGCGAGGATTCCCGACGCCGTAAGAACGGCCATTAAGGCGGCGATAATAGCCGGCGATAATTCGCCTTTGTTAATTAAAGCGTAACGAGGCGATAGCTCAAAGGTTTCATATAGTGGATCCGGCTACGCGATCTTCATCTTTGATCCTCTGCAATGCGACTCATGATTTATTCACACGAAATTCCCGGGACGCTTTTATAGATCCCGATTTTATCTTGAAGCAAACTCGACAGGGATTTCTTTTATTACCGTACGAGACTCAATCAATTAATCGTGGATCCTCTCCTCTCTCTTTTCTCCATTATTTTTTTAACATTTGAACATTGTGCATATTTAAATCTTATTTATTGTGCCATAAGAGTTGGAATAAAATTAAATTTACATATCCATCTCTATACATATATTTTCGATAATATAAATTATTACGCATAATGTATATATTAATACGTTGTCGTTTAGCTCGCATTGTGCTATGCGAAACAGTCTTTTATCGTATAGGAATAATTGAGCCGATCTAATCGGACTCGATCGCATCCTGTTTAGAGAGACTTCGCCGCGAAACACTTTGCAATTTGCCGGCGAATAGAAAGCGACGACTTCGCGAGAAGAATCCTCGCGGGTAATACCTTTCCTCTCCCTTGACCGCTCTACCCGATCGGATCCCCTCGCTTCTCCGGTCGACGTTGCAGCGTTGCAAAGAGAAGAGCGATTCCTTAATTTCCCATATTGTGGCTCGTCCCGGCTATCCCAGGGCGCCCCGCTGCGTTATAGCGCGGTTTAATCACACTACAAGCGCGCATCCCTCGTTAGCGAGATATCGTACCCGCGGTGGCTATAATACGAGGCTACATTCCACGGCGCGAGAGATACCGTGCAAGACATTTTCACCGTTCGCGAGCGACGTCTATAGGGCCTCTCTTTGCCGTGCGCGTTGCGGAATCGGTAATAACCTTTTGACTTTTCTTCGCTGAGAAATGGGGAACGAATCGGCGCCGTCGCGGATTATATATCGGATAGTCGGGATTTCTCGGCGGGCGAGATATTACGCAACAACGTCGGTTTCGAATAAGCCTCGTATTCCAAGGCAATTTTCTAATTGCGAATGATAACTTTGAGCCTTTCATTGCAAGTCGCTTCATTTCTTTTACGCATAAAGCGTATCCAATTATTAGCCTTTGTTACATACATATATATATATAATCTTTACTAAAGGAACAGCGCACAGAGATGATGATATATATTTTTTGACACGCGAAGAGAAACCATACCTTATATGCAAAGAATTTAATTAAAAAAAAAAAGAATTGTATATATTGCATTTTTGTATACAAATTTATTGTCTTTACGATTTTTTGGAGGACAACAAGTTGGGGATGCGCCGTTGAAAACATTCATGCCTCGCGAAGTCGCTGGATCTATAATGATCCCTCGTGCTTGCCGAGTAGAAAATCAAGGAGGAATGGGGCGACAGCAGCTATGTACATCGCGAGAGCGTCGCGCGCGGTTGAAAAACACTTGTAAGGAAACCGGAGAAAGAGACGGAGAGCTCGATGGGAGGAGGACGCTCGCAATAATTGTGATTTACGATTCGGTCGTTGGCAAAGTAAAGCGCGGCGAGTTCGTTTGAAACGGTGGCGACGCATTTCGCGGGGCAGAAGAACTCGTCGGCGGGATCGGGATGGAGAAAAAGGCGATGGGGTACGACGAGCGAAAAAGGGAGGATCCGCCGAGGCTTCCTGCTTTTTGACAAATTACTGATGGAAAATCCAGCGAATCGTGGGAAACCGTGATGTACGAGGCCGTCGACTGGTCCCGCGAATCTGTGAGATCTTGGTCCCAACGATAGCGAGTCTTACTTAATTGGCACTCTTTTCCGCGACCTTCCGGAACAGACGGCTTAATTAGCAAAGCTGGTAATTTCGCTACGCGCAGGAAACAGAGAGACTGGCTTTTTATTAACGTTAAATATATTCATACCTATAACGACACGTACCTGATGATTCGCTAGACTTTAAGAGCAAATTTTTAGAAATTATTCCGCGGCGGTTTGTAACGTCGTTCAAAGATCACGGGCAGTTGATTACGTGGAGTTTGATAAGTCCTCAATGACTAAGTGTACGCAATATCGGGGCATGCAGGTCGGATTTTAGCATAAGAAAGGCTTAGCGAAGCATTTCACAATGGCACATTGAGCCTTCGCGCGTTGGATCTCGGCAACACTCGTTTATCCGTCTCGTACTCTCCATCTTTATCTCGCTCGTATCTGGTTGTGCGTGTGTATTGGCGTAGAGGGTAGGACGCAATCAGTGCCCTTGATTTATCGTAGCAATATACATTAAGATACCGACATTAAAACTAGGGGAGTCTCCCGTGGATTCCGGGGCTCCATTACCGCTTAGAATAGAGAGAGGCGAGCTGTCGTCACGTTGCATCGAGATGCTTGAATGAGATTGAATTCTCAGCTGCGCTTGATCCGTTCGACATTTCTGAAATTAATGGGGATCGGCTACTTGTGCGTGGACGAACGTATCCCTTCTTACTCTTTAGCAATCACGAAAGCCGCAACAGTTTATTCACATTGACCAACAATGGATGCGTGTCAACATTATCGATAATGAAAAGAAAATTATATCATACCTGCTTGAATATTCCAGCTTTTAATAATTCGAAATTTTAATAAAAAGGCACACATATACACACATACACACACACACACACATCAATATCGCCAACGTCACGAAAAAGCATTTCAAACATTACTTAATAATTATAAATAGATTTATTCTCAAGTTTTATATATCCATGATACAAAGTTATATTCGTACTATTTACAAGTTGTTTAATATCTCTTTCGAGAAGTCGATTTAGAGAACTTTATTTGTACTTTTTCATCATTCGCTGGCTCACGAAAAGGGTCGCAATCTGAACTTACGATACACATAAGTCTTGGGAGTTATCAGAGACGTGATCGTGACTTTGGCGAATCGCATCACACGGCTCCGCCGCGCCCTTCGACGCGTTCTCCTCTCGATCTCCTTCATCCCATCTCTTTGCGATGAGGGAGAAGACCGAGAGAGAGAGAGCGAGAGTATCGAGTGGTCATCGAGTTCTCGAGTTCTCGAGTTCCTCGAGAACTTTGGAAAGGGTCGCGGCGAGCTTGTCCAGTACCCGCCTGCCAATTACGGAACAGAGATCTAACCGTAGTAACGTGTAGTGTTTCCACCATTGTCTGCAGGACCGAGCGGGGCATACAGTCCGGACGCGACGATGGGCTACATGATGGACGGACAGGCGGCCAGCATGATGCACCGGCCGCCCGGTGATCCTGCCTTCCACAATCAGTACCATTACCCGGAGTACTATGGACATCACATATAAAGGTTCGTACGGATACTGCGAATCTAATCGCCACTTCGATCGCGTTAGAATACGGTATATTCGTCCTAGTGGATCAGCTTGTAGCCCAGCAATGAACGACTAATTGTAACGATACTTTTTATTTGTGATAATTGTATTAATCTTGTATAAGAAATATACAGGATGTCCCTTACCCACCGTACCACACGTTAATGGGAGATTCTTGAGGCGATTGAAAATAAAAGCTTCTTCAAAAATTAGGAACATTAAACAAATGATGACCTTCCTCGACATTTTCACCGAGGAAAAATCGTCTCCAGAAAAACTTTAGAAATCTCCCATAAACGTATGGTACGGTAAGGTTTGGGACACTCTGTACAACGATGTATAAATATATATCACAAATATTGTTTGAATAGACGCGTATGTATCTTTTTAATATCTTATAAAGCAATCGCGTTAGACTCGCGTTGAGAATCGCCAACGTTGCGTGTTTCAGAAGTACTTGCAAGATAGAACGGACGGTAGAACGACAGTTCTAGCGACATGAGAAGCGTGACGGACCTACCGTGTTCCGGTTGGCGTAGACCAGAATCGGAGGACAACGACGATCCGTGATCGCCAGAACGATTTCTTGCCACGCCGCACGTCGAAATCCGTGACGCTCGGGTGCTCGGGGTAGAGAGGAAAAGAGAAAGGGGCAAAGGAGCGAGGTTCCCGGTTCAAGGAGGAAAGACGTGGCGGATGAAACGCCGCGGGAGGCCAACGGGGAGAAGACGATCGTAGGAACCGTCGAAGGAAGAGAGATACGGTTATACGAGATGGAGTGAAGTAGCTGCGGAAGCGGCGACGCAGAAGGACATGGGGAGGATGAAACCGCGGCTTTGGTCTGGAGAATGACGCGGTGAAATTCATGTGATTGTTCTTTGTACAAATATCGCGGTGTAATAAAAATATTGTAGTGATTGAAGAATTTAAATGTTAAATTTTAATACGGTCGCGATCGAGATATATTAATGAAATATAAGTGATATATAGGCAATTTAGCGGGCATGTACATTAAAAAAAAGAGATAAACCCCCGGTGCTCGCACGGAATAGAGAGTATGTTCAAGTGCACAGACGATGCAAAGGGAAGTATAAAAAGGGAGAGAGAATTTACCGAAAAAAAGTGGAAATATATATATCTATTTTTATATGTATGTATGTACACATACAAGTATGTATTTATTACGCACGCATACATATTAAAAATACATATATATATTATAAATAAATATAAATAGCGAGACGCGAAAGGTGAGTGGAAGGAAACAAGATTATTAAAATGGCATGGTGGAGATGTTTAAAGATATATAAAAAGAAAACGGACACGCAAACACAACGGAGGAAAATTAGACCGAATGACATCGACGCGTGTGCCGGACTCGAGCGTCGAACATTCAACTGCATATATATATAGGAGACATTAAAAATTTGTACAGTTATTAATTATAAATGAATTTACTAATTAAAGGAAAAATATATTATATATATAAATATATAAATACATATATGTATATATATAATATATATATATATATATATATATACATAATGGAGTAAAGAAAAAACGTGTGGCCCCGGTTGTAATATAAGTCGAGCGTTGTAGTTGGACTGGGACGATTATCACGATATATTGCCGACGCGTACTAGGCAGAAGAGAGAATTTTCGCGCAAATCGAGAGAGAAGAGCGGGAGACGCGAGTGGCGCGAGTGAGAGAATATACGCGAGATAAACGTACTGAGGGATTCTAGATATAAATATAAAAAAATGCAAAGATATAGATAACAGTGAGAAAGAGAGAAAAGAAGAGATCAAGGGAAAGCGAGAGGATTGACGCTCTTCGTCGTACACTCGATGACGCAGCGATATCCCTCCGAGACAGAGTCCCATCCTCTAAAATCCCGACCCAATCCAACCTCCCGCACAAGTGACACACACTAAGACACACCGTTCTTTCAGCTTTGCAGAGATATAATATGCAGACCCACCGTACACGACACACACAATTATACAAAACATAGCTCCCCCCACGATCATAAAAATAATTAAACGGAAGTACACGCGTTTACAGTTTATTATAATATATTCTATATTAAAAAAAAAAATAGTTAATTCAACTCTGAAAATATAAGATTGAGAGGGAGAGGAAACGCGGGATTCGATGGAGAGGATCGTCTTGCGGATCCGCGCTCGTTTTTCTAATGCATCGATTTTTTTCTGCGATAGAAAAACAAAAATATCGGACAAGAGATCGAGAAGAACGATTCGTTGTTGTGATTTTATTTTATTTTATTTTATTTTATTTTTTTTGCTAATTTTCATGAAAATCTGTGATTATAACATGAGATACAAGAAAAAAAAGCACAAACAAAATTAAAAATAAAATAATCGATATTGAAAATAATTTAATATCGCATATGTATACACATATATATATTTATATATGTATATATATGTATATTTACATATATTACGCATATGTACTAATAGCGTTGTACAGGTGCATTCGAATATTATACGGTTACAAAATGCATATTATTATATATTTCGTAAAATTGCGCTATCACGCATATGTATATACATGTATAAATATATATATGTATATGTATACATATGTATATTTACATATATTACGCATATATACTAATAGCGTTGTACGCGTACATTCAAATATTACGGTTATAAAATGCATATTATTATATATTTCGTAAAATTGCGCTAGTTTTTCATTATTCTTCTCTGTCTCTGAAACACGACATGGTTTCCGACGACATCTCAACAATCGCAAAAGAATCGACACACAAATTCAATTAAATTTAATTTAATTCAATTAAAATTCGATTACGGAGAGATTCGATGAATTCTTGAAATCGCATATATCGATTTATAATACGTCGAATTTATTTATAATTTAGTTTATATTTACACCGATCTCTTTCATACGTCTATATATTAAGTATTATTTTCATATTAAATTAATCTGCAATTATCTAAATATCGGTTAATATGAATTCGTATCAAATTTATATTAAATAGATTATATCTGATAATATCATGGACTAAAGTACAAGTTTGATAAAAATATAATACTTAGTATACGTATCTCTCAAAGGGAACGATGTAAAACTAAGCTTACATCGAATTTTAAAGTTTCCTCGAATTTCTGAAATTCGGAGAAATTCGATCGGCATGAAAACGAAATTTGGGTTGCACTTTTGTCTATTATCTATCTATCATAAAGCGAGATTTCAACGAATCGTACGTAAAACGAACGGACAAAGGCGATCGTTAAGATGCTCGTTGTTCTCACGATTACGTCGGTATTCGCGGACGACATCATCCCTCTCTTGGAATCAATTAGCAACGAATCCGCGGCACGGGGAGCCCCCTTCGAATTTGACACTTCCCTTATCCCTTTCTCGTCTACAAGAACGAATCGGTATTATATCACTGCGATACCATCGTCGCCTCCCTTTCTATATGTGCGCGTTTAGTCGCACATATATACACACATATACATTCATTCGCGAGGTATCGTCATGGCTGATCATGAACACAAATTCTTTTTGTTTTCGATCTTTCTCGCACTTTTTTTTCTCCCGTTTTACGCGCACTTTTTTCGTCATATTTTCGTAACTCGTCGTTTTAATCAAATTATGATTATTGGTTTTTTTTTCTGACGACATGTGTAAGTTACGAAAGCGCAATCGAACGAAGAAGGGAATAGAATGCAATCAATCTCCAATCTGTATTTATCTCCTCCAATCGCTTGTCCCTCGTTCCCCAGTTACGGTATTTTGGAGGAATCTCTATATTTCTATACGAATCTTATCGCGCGCGTCCTTGATATACGTAAACAATGTTAGCGAACAAACGATGATAGAGAGATTAAGAAAAAAAACACAAAGAGTGAACACGCGAGTTAGGGAACTGGAGCGAGGGGAGAGAGCGTTTCTTTTTTTCGATGAAGGGGAATGAATTTTCGAGAGACCTTTATAACGCGATACGCCAGACACACAGAGCATGTTTATTAAGAGAAAAAAAATTTTAATGAAAATTAAAACGTCGATTATATATACGTGAGTACGCAGATTCACGACGAATATAAAGGGTACGAAATAATAAAAACGTCCCTCGTTAACGTCACACGCGTCATACGAGGACGCGTGTCTCGTTGATCTCTCGACGATCGAGACACGACGGTTCGTTCGGAAGGATGGATCGTCGGCACCATCCTCTCTGATCGGAACGGAGGGTTGCGAAACGAGAGGATGACACGAATAGAGGGAGCGCGAGAAGAGAAAGAGCAAAATTTTATCGATATTTTCAATACGCCCGCATACACGCAAATCTTGTATAAAAAAAATTTAATGTAACACAACTGCTCCCGCCGAGAGCCGAGCGGCAACGCGACGGTGTTCCTCTCTATACCGAACATATCCTATTCGAGATCTATCCAGGAACAATTCCGACGGATACGCCGCGCGTAAGAAAAAAAAACGATCCCGAGATCGTCTTTTACGAGGCCCATTCGATGCCTCCTCTTTTGCGGCTAAGGAGGAACCTCGGCGTTGCGCTTCGCGCGATCGGCGTTCTAGTATACTAAACTAAAAAAAAAAAAGATAACCCACGTATACCGAAAGACTCAGGTGCGAGAAAAGTCAGTATAGCTACGGTCCTGGTTAAATCGGAACAATTATACGAATTCGTAAGATACGTCGCGCCGAGCAAACGCACTTGCGTGTGCGTGGCTCCTCTGCAATAAGGATGCGCGCCGATCGATCATGCGATCTGCCTCCTCCCGAAGTAGACAGGTAAGTAGGTAGGAAATGGCACACGAAGAGATAGAGAGAAGGGTTCCTCGTATAAATCCGTCGAGTCCTTTCTCTCGACGCGCCAATTCTCTCGTCGGGGAAATTAATCGCGGATCTCACCGCGACCAGGATGAAAATACGGTATACGACGATAAGGCAGACGGAAATTGTATACGTTACGCGCGAGATCGCGTCGCCGAGATTAAATCGCACGCGCGAGAGAAGATCTCTCGGCTCGATGATTTTGACGAATTTAAATTTTGCTTCGTTTGATATTCGCGAATAATTTCGGCGCGCACGATCTTCGATCGCAAAAGATTAATTATATCTATATCATAGAGTTATCGAGAACGAGACAATCACAAGAAGTATACTAATCGATGACATGTTCTTCTTTTGCTTGTCATTGTGCGCAGCCACGAGGACGACGGCGCGTTTTTACGAATTATATTTGTTGACCGATATATTGTTTAATTTTTTGTTGAGGTCGTCGTCTTTGGCCGCGCACAACGACAATGTCAAATCATATGCGGTCGTACAAGAGCGATCGATTTCCCCAATGAAGATTGACGCTTAAAGAACGCTTACAGAGCGTTCACAAATTTGATTGCAAAATAATTTAAAGATGCAAGGATATGCTTTTTCTTTTTGAGATTTTGTAACTGAAATACAACGATGGCTCCATTAATAAAAAATGAGAAAGAACATTTACCTGATTAAAGTACAGGGAACAAGAGAAGTGATCTTCAGTCGTTATTCCGACAATGAAGGAGCGTAAAATGACTCTTGTAGATGATTTTTGTGTTACGGCTGCAAATACATTTCTTAGTACGGGATGTTCAATTTATACTCAGGAGCAAGATAAATTATTTCTTTTGTTAAACATTATTATTTTAGGATGCTTTCGTTGCTGGTGCGATACTTTGACTTTAACTTGTTTCTTGTCCGATCATATATTTATCAAAAGAAATGACAACTCTGGCAGCAGCATAGATGCTCTCAATAATACTGTATCATAAAAGATCTTTCCTTATAACATTATGTTAATATAATTGATGACTATTGAAATTATTATCAAAGATGGAATTAAAATTAAAGATTTCAATTTTTC